AAGGGACCACAAGAAGTAACCTAGCAGGAAGGGGTGCTTCAAGACCGGGAAAAAAATATTTTCCACCAAGTCTTTACATCAGTCTATGTTACTGTAGCTTCTTTGCTTGAAATAGTGACTTGACAAGTAGGAATGTATTTTCATATACTTAACATTCTCATTCTTTACATACCCACAGAATATCCAGTTAACAAGTTCTGATGATTCAGTTAGCATATGGGACACACCAGTTATGAACTTTTAGTATGTCAATTACTTGTAGTCCCCCCATAATGGTCAGGATCCTTTTGCTTCTGGCTGCTCTATGAAGGATTTCAGAATAATAAAACATATTAGAGAAAGTATAAAGGGTGATTTTTAGGGGAGAACAGGAATATGCAAACTGTTAGATATGTCTGACAGGTTGATGTTTGGAATGAGCACAATGACCATTTATGCTCGAGTAAAATGAAAAGAAACTTCATTACAGGTAATCCATCTAGTCCATTAGTGGGGCACATGGGACATGTCACATGAGACCCATGGGACCCCCTTTTCCCCCCAATTTGTCAAGTCTCCACTAAAGCTCCCAAAGGCCAAATAGATTGCCATTCCTGGAGGCATATGATTTGATTTCATGCCAATGTCACTCAAACCCAAGAAATAGAAATCAGAAGTTACTTTTAGTTACTTCTGGGTCAAGTTTCTGAGAATCCTGTGGCCTACTTGGGAGAGGGATGAAATTCAACACCTGTTACAATTGCTGATCCCTGGTCTAGTGGCAGGAAGGCAAGTATAGGATGCTATTGTGGGCTACATTCTTGTACAAGGGAGAAAAAGGGACCTAGGAGGAAAGAAGGGAAGTCATAATAATAAAAAAAGTCAATTTACAATGTAACTTCATTTCTTCCTCCACAAATAGATAGAACCACTGGGTGTTCCTCTTTTGATCTTGGCTGGTCTGGTCTGTCTCATCTTTATGTAAACCTCAGCCAAGATCAAAAGGGAAACAGCTAGATAGCCCTAATCATCTGTCTCTAACACTATTGCCCACTATAGTCCTTAAGGTAGATGTTGTGAGACTTCATTTCCAATACAAAGAGCATCATGGCTCAGTTTGTGACTCTTTGTAGTAACCCTACTCTGTTCCTGGCCCAGAATGCTTATGGGAGTGAAGCTGCATAATGATATAATGTCAATCCCAGAGGAGAGTTGAGTTTCACTGGAGCTAAAAGTTTTAGAGAACATATCTGTTTCACACCTTACAAGATTCATGGTGAGACAAACTGCACCTCACACAATATTCAGATATTGTGAGACTAGCAATGTATTTGGAAGAAACAGAATAGTTACAAACCATGCATTCATTTAAAAAATGCATATGAATAAAAATGCATAGAGTTGAAAAATAGATGGAAGCATGGTGTAGACAATGGGAAAATGTTTATGCTAGGATAAAATGCATAGAAAATATATGTGTTTGGACCAATATATATGAAAGTGCTTTTGCATTTCCATGTGGGAAATAAAAAAAAATAGGGTCTCTGTTTCATACATCATAGTTATAGCACTTTGATACCGCTTCTGCATAATATCATGACTGCATCCTGTAGAATCCTGGGATTTGTTGTTTGATGGCTTAGAATTTTCTGCTACAGGGTTAGAGAGATAGAATTCTCTGCTAGAGAATTCAAAATCTTCTGAACTAGCACTAGAATTTTCTAGCAGTAATTTGCACTGTGAACAAGATGGAAGTCTCACAAGTGGACACAACAGATAGGATAAGGATGCATATTCCATGCTGTGGAATAAAAACTAAGGGTTTGTACAGACCGGCCAGCCTGGTGGTGGAGTGGGGGCATGGTGACCGCACATCAATGGCCCTGACACCACCCACCCAACCAGATGGTGGGTGGCGTCAGGGCATTCCCTTGGCACAGCGCTCACACACTTTGTGCCAAAGGAGCACCAAAAAGCTGCCGCCATCACAGCAAGGGAGACTTTTGTCCCCTCTAAAAAAGAGCAGCAAAGCACTGAATCAGAGCACACAGCAATCTGGCAAGGAAAGGAGCTGCATGATTCCACCCCTTAAAGGCTGTCTGTTCAGCCCCTTAGGTATCCTTATCTGGAGCATTCCTATGAGGTTGTGAAAACTGCTGTCATATCTAAGGAGAGCATGTGGAGACAGGGGAATCCTTGGCTATCTTATTAAGAAGTAAACAAACATCTTCTAAAAGTCACAAAGGCCCCAGCAATTGGCAATATCCCTCCTCCAATATTACAAGGGATGAATTAACCCACAAAAGCATATATGGGAATTCTGCCTAGCCATAATGCTTTCTATTGTTAAGGAAGGAAGGAAGGAAGGAAGGAAGGAAGGAAGGAAGGAA